AGCCCTCCGCAGGGATCGTTCCTCTGGGACACCCTGGTCCACTTTTCCTTCACTCCCAACAACCTCCCACAATCCCACCGCACCTTCCCATGCAACCGCCAAAGGTGTAACACCTGCCCATTTACCTCCTCCCTCCCCAGTATCCAAGAGCCCAAACATACCTTCCAGGTGAAGCAGCACTTTACCTGCACTTCCCAGAATCTAGTCTTCTGCATTCACTGCTCACAATGTGGTCTCCTCTACACTGGGGAAACGAAGAGTAGACTGGGTGACTGCTTCACAGAACATCTACATTCTGCTTGCCACAAAGACCCTGAGCTTCCAGTTGCCTTCCACATTAACAGACTACCCTGTTCCATGGCCAACATCTCTGTCTCAGGCTTGCTGCAGTGTTCCAGCAAAATCCAGTGCAAGCTGGAAGAACAACACCTCATTTTTTGCTGGGGACCCTGTAGCCCTCCAGACTTAATATTGAGTTCAATAATTTTAGAGCCTGAACTCTCCCATGTTCTAGCCCCACACACCAAGCCTTGTTATCATATAGCCTGCCATTACACACTACCTATTTTTAGCCACTGACAGTCTCTATTAACAGCTATTTACCCTCCTAGCCAGATTGTTATGAACTCCGTTGTCAGTCCAACTGTTCTTCTCTCTTTTTGTGCTCTATTCCACCTGTTGTTTACTCCTTAGACTCTCCCCCACCCAGCTTCTGCATATAAACTGACATTTTCCTAGCAACCATCAGTTCTGAGGAAGGTCACTGGACCCAAAACGTTAACTTTTATTTTTCTTCACAGATGCTGCCAGATCGGCTGAGCTTTTCCAGCAACTTCTGTTTTTGTTCCTGATTTACAGCATCCACAGTTTGTTCGGTTTTTATGTAATAATTTAAACCATGATTGAAGATTCATGTAGCCTACGATGGTTCAGAGAAGACTTGCTGTGGTTACAGTATTATGTAAAATCAATTCTGAATGTATGCAGGATATTGTTACACATTAGGACCAAAATAACGCTAAATGGACATTATAGAGTCCAAAATATTCAGTATCTGTACACTTTCATGATGACATAATGAATGATGGACACCTATTATTACACTTTTCCATTTCAAGTTTTCCTGGTGCAGCTAATAAATCATTAAATATGGTGGATTGCAATTTCGTGGTAACTTTGCTATGTGCCTTTCACTATTATAGTTATGGAAAACTAACGTACTGTTTATGGCCATAACAAATTTAGTAAAGAAAATTGTCCAGCTGTGAGATTCAGCTGTAAAATTGCTTGAAGTAAAATCAATACTCTCAATCTGAAATACACATCCTAAAAAAGCATAAAAATATACCATAAAAATATGCACATATGTGAAAATGGATAGTTTAGGGCTTAAATAATAGATCCATACTGAAATTAAAAAGTAAAAATGTGAATAAAACTCAATAGTAATAAAAAGTTAATGATTCCAGTTGAGAAAGCTCACTCGGAAGATTTTCCGCCTTTGTTTTAAATTGAGAGAGCATAGAAACCATAAAAGTAAATTTCATGGGCCTGAAGTTACAGCATTCATAATTCTGGCAACAGTGATTCTATTGGACTCTTTCATGTTCAGAGCGACAGCACCTCATTGGACGGGGCAAGTGGAGAAAGGCATCAATTTTGGTGCATTTCTTTGATATAGCTGCACATGTTCGTCAGAGATTCTGGCATCCACCCACCCAGCCTACTTTGGCCTAATGAACAGGGGGTGGAGGGAGGGTTCTGTGGCTATGTGCAGCTAAGTCAAACTTAAAAGTATGTTTTCATAATTAAGAGGTATTCAAGAGCCCAAACTATTTGCCTAATCTGGGCCTCACGATACAGCCCACAGCCAGTATTGGGAAGCCAATATACTTTCACATGTAATGCCTGTGGAATAGCTCTTTCCCCCTATTTCTGGCATTTACCTTTGTTCTTTGCAACAATGACAAACAATCCCCGCAGCTGTGTTGCTGAACTGGTGCCAAGGCTCAGGACATTTCTTCTGGGCTATATAGATGAGAGGTCCATGTGATACCACCAACACAGGTGGGAATGGGAAAGAGGTTCTGCTGAGAAATTATGAACAGTGAAGGGCTAAATTAGAAAGTAGAGTCACAATGGATTACTACCTGAGGCACATGGAAATTAGCATAGGGTAAATGAGATTATACAGGTAAATGCATGGCTCAAAGACGAGTATGGAAGAAATGGATTCTGAATCATGGCGCACTGGTACCAGTATTGGGGAGAGAGAGGATGGGCATCATTTGAGCCATGTGTCCTGGCAAATCGTATAAATAGAGTTCTGGTTGGACTTTCAAACTAATTAGGTGTGTGTGTGTGTGTGTGTGTGTGCGCGCGAGAGAGAGAGTGTTGTGTGTATGTGTTTGGGGGTGGGGTGGGTGGATGGGGTGGGTGGTAGCGGGTGGGTTTAATTGAAGGGAAGTTTACAAAATCAAGAAAGGAGCAAGAAAGCAAAGGTGCAGGGTACTGAAGAGGCAAATGATAATCAAAGTGCAACAGGAAGGAGTTGAAAATATACACAGATGTGTGCAGCAGAAATCAGAACCAGAGAGAATAATAATGATAAAATGTTATAGTTTAAGGCTCCTTATTTGAGTGCAGGCAGTATTTGTAACAAGGTCAATGAATTGATGGCTTAAATAGAAATAAGTTCATATGATTTGATAACTATTACAGGGACATGTTTTTACGGTTACCAAGTCAGGGAGCTTATTATTCAGGGGTATTCAATATTTCAGAAGAATACATGCAAAGGAAAAGGAGTTGGGGTAGTACTGTTAATAAAGAAAATGTCAGTGTAGTGGTAAGCAGCGGTGCAGTTCCAATAGATCATGAGGTGGAATCTAAAAACCGAAAGAACTGCGGATGCTGTAAGTCAGGAACAAAAACAGAAGTTGCAGGAAAAGCTCAGCAGGTGTGCCAGCATCTGTGAAGAAAAAATCAGAGTTAACGTTTTGGATCCGGTGACCCTTCCTCAGAACGTTAACTCTGACTTTTTCTTCACAGATGCTGCCAGATCTGCTGAGCTTTTCCTGCAACTTCTGTTTTTTTCATGATGTAGAATCTGTTTGGGTGACAATAAGGAATGGCAAGGGAAATAAGTCATGGGCAGAAGTCATCCTTTACCCCAAAAGAGTTGCCTCACAGTAAGACAGTATAAATCGGTAAATAATGGAAATGTGTAGGAAAGGTAGTACAAATGTCACGGGTGATCTTAATCTGCATATTGACAAATACGATGTGCAAGGATGATATGGATGACAAATTTGTACAGTGCACTCCCTCTTAGAGCAGCATGTTGGTAAAAATATTCCAGAACTCACTGGGTTCCAGGAGGATTCCAGCAAATCTGAAAACTGCTAATGTGGTACCCATGTTCACGAAGGGAGGATGACAGGAAGTAGGAAGCCATAAGCAAGTTAATCTAACATCTGCCATTTTAAAAATTCTACAATTCATTATTGACAAAGAAATATCAGGGCATTTAGAAAAGCTTAGTGCAAACGAATGGAGTCAACATGATTTTGTGAAAAGGCAATCATGTTTGCCAGATTTGTTTAAGTAGTGTATTTGGTGTTTCAGAAGGCATTAGGTAAGTGCTATATGAAAGGATATTGCACAAGATGGAAGCTGACGGCTTTGGGGGTAATGTATTTGCATAGATTGAGGATTGGTTAACATACAGAAGACAGCAAATCAGGATTAATGGTTGGAAAGATATAATAGATGGAGTCCCACAGTGATCTGTCCTGGGCCTTCAATTATTTACTATCAATTATTAATGACTTAGAGGAAGGGGCAGAGTGTAGACTTACTGATGATACAAAAATAGGGAAGAAGGCATAAGGACATAAGAAGTCTGCAAGGCGATATAGATAAGTTGAACAAGTGGGCAAAAACTTGACAGATGAAGTTCAATGTAGGAAGGTGTGCAGCTATGCACTTTGGTAAGAAGAATGAAAAGGCAGACTATTATTTAAATGGAGAGAGACTCCAAAAAGGTGCAGTATAGAGGGATCTGAATGTTCTTGTCAATTAAATGCAAACATTGTGGTGTACATGCAGAAAGTAATTAAGAATTTGACGTTTATTGTTAGGGGGTTGGCGTTTTAAAACGGAATTCTTGTTACAACTGTGCAGGGAGTTGGTAAGGTTCCACTCAAAATGCTGTTTACAATTTTGATCCTTGTATGTAAAAAAAAACTACTGGCTAAAGAAGTTGTTCAAAAGAAGTTTACTAGTCTGACTCCTGAGGCACAAGAGTTGACTTATCAAGAACAGCAAAACAGGTGCGGCCTTTAATCATTAGACTTTAGAAGAATGAGGGGCATTCTGGTTGAAACAAAGAAGATTCTGAGGGGCCTTGGGTAGATGTTGACGAGATGTTACCACTACTGCAAGAATTCCAAACTAGGGGGCATAGATACAAAATAAGGGGACACTGATTTAAAACTAAGATGTGAAGATTTTTTTTTCTCCAAGAGGATAATGAGTGTTTGGAATTCTCTGCCTTGGAGAGTGGTGGAGGTTAAATGACTGTAAGCATTTAAAGAGGGGGTAGATAGATTATTGAACTATCAGGTAGTTAAAGGCTGTGTTGAGCTGGCATGGAAGAGGAATTGATGCATGGAGCAGACCCAGGCACAATCTTGCTGAGGCAAGACAGGCTTGAGGGCCCAAATGGCCTTTTGCTGTTCTTATTTCTTATGCTTTTATGCTCTTCATGTAATAAAAATGAATATTAAATGAGTATTAAACATTATATCATGGTTTTCAAGAAAATGCATCTAAAATATGTTAATTTAATTTATAATATAAAAAATGCTTTCTCTTTTCATAAGCACAAAGTTTGTTGTGTGTGTTTTATGCTCCTTCTTTGTATATTGTATCAACTATAAAACAAATGCAAAATGTATTTGGAAAATACAAAACTTTGAAAAATCTCTACATTGCAGATTACTCAGTTATAGGAAATCTCTCAAGTAAGTGGTTGCACATTTCTCTGTTTTGTTGTTCATAGCTGGATAAAATTTGATGTGGTTTCTTTTCTATTTTCTGTCAGATTAAAAGCCAAACAATATAAATCATAAAAGCATGACCAATTGCATGGTAACTGGAGAAGGGCTCTTTTTGTCTCCCCCTGGAGTGAACCTTACATATCTGTGTTTCAGCTTTGGCAGCAATGTGGGCTTATTTAAATTCCTTGGAGAGCAGGACAGAGTGACAATGCTTTCATTGCATTTGTTTTATGTTCCTAATTCCAAAAAAGAACTTTCAGTTCCACAAAAGTCTTCAAAAAGTAGTCATGTCTACATATGCCATTTTTAACCATCCCTTCAAACAAATCACTCACTGTTTGAATATTTCCTTATCAGGCTTGTGTGCTTAAATCTAAAGAATTTTAGTAACTTTGGATATTTTTGAGTCCAGTCTGTAACCCAAAGAGTGATCTATGTATTTGTAGCAAATTGCGAAATAAATGAGTTTGTAATTGGTTTTATTCAATCTGCCCACAGGCCCATTAGCAAGAAGTCATTCTTGCAGCATGTGGAAGATCTGTGTATTAACAACAACCTGAAGTTTCAAGAAGAATTTTCGGTATGTCTCCAACAGTTGTCACAACATACCAAAAATTTAGACACTCTACATGTCACAATTTACATATAGTTTAGTGCATGTGAGACAAGTGAGAACCTTCACCCTGATAATCAATACTCAATTACCAAGTTTAATGTTTACATAGTAACATTACACTAATTTTGACTTTTCACTGTAGGTGGCAACCTGATCAGAATCATTTGCCAGTCACCTCCATGTAGTTGATCCTCTGCAAACCACCCCGCATTGATATTATTCTTTCTAGGGTGCTACTATACATGTTCATTAGGCAGAGATTAATTCCACAAAGTTCTTTTTTAAGCGTTATTTTTTAAAATTTTGTAATCCCTGGACAGGTTCAAGGTCATTTCAACACACCAGCTCCACATTCAGAGCAACCGAAGTTTGAAATGTAACCTTAAATTTAATTTTAAATTCAATTTCAAAGGTGATAAACCTGAATGGCACTGACTGTCCTGGCAATCTGCTGGAAAATTAGTATAATGGAGCTAAGAAACCAAACAAATAATTAAACAGAGTAACATGAAAGTAATATTTGTGATTTCAATGTGCCACATTTAATGATAGTTTCATATCATTCATGGGGAGTAATTTAAAAATATTATGTTATAGTTTTAATAGTTTTTATTCATTCATGGGATGTAGGCATTGCTGGTCGGGCCAACATTTATTGTCCATCCATAATTGTGCTTGTGAGGGTGGTGGTGAGCTGCCTTCTTGAAGCATTGCAGTCCATTTGTTGTAGGTAGACCCACAATGCTAGTCAGGAACGGAGTTCCAAAAATTTTACCGAGAGACGCTGAAGGAATGGCGATATTATTTCCAAATCAGGATGGTACATGGCTCAGTGGGGAACCCATAGGTAAATGTGTTCCCAGATATCTGCTGCCCTTGTTCTTCCAGATGGAGATGGCGTGGAAGAAGCTGTCTAAAGAGCTTTCCTGAATTTTTGCAGTGTATCTTGTAGATGGCACACACTGCTGCCACTGAGAGTTGGTAGTGGAGGGAATGAATGTTTGTGGATGTGGTGCCAATCAAACAGGCTGCTTTGTTCTGGATAGTGTCAAGCTTCTTGAGTGGGAGCATTCCATCACACTCCTGACTTGTTCTTTGGAAATGGCAGAGACGTTTTGAGGAATCAGAAGGTAAGTTACTGCAGGATCCCAGCCTCTGACCTGCTGTCATAATCACAGCATTTATATTGCTAGTCTAGTTTAGTTTTTGGTAAATGGTAATCCTGAAGAGAGAATTCAGTGATGGTAATGCCATTGATTGTCAAAGGGTGACAGTTAGATTTTCTTTTGTTGGGAATTCTCATAGCTTAGCACTTGTGTGGCATGAACTCTCATCCCAAGTGTGGATTTTGTCCACATCTTGTGAATGGCTCTGAACATTGCACCCTAATTAGTGAGCTTCTTCACTTCTGACCTATAGTGGAGGGAAGGTAGTTGCGCCTAGGACTTTACCCGAAGGAACTCATACAGAGATGTCCTGGCTCTGAGATGACAAACTCCAATAATTATAGCTATTTCCTTTGTGCTAGGTATGATTCTAACCAGTGGAGTTCACCCCAGATTCCCATTGACTCTAATTTTGCGAGGGCTCCTTGATGCCGCTGGGTCAAATGCAACTTTTAAATCAATGGCAGTCACTCTTACCTCACCTCTAGTTTTATGTCGTGTTTCATAATTCTGTGGAAATTTCAGGGCCTCTGCAGGAAAAACCACAGCAGCAGCTTAGACTAATGTGATGTAGCCCAACCTCCGAATGCTGAGCAGTAAAGGCATGACACAGTGCATAGAGATGCTGGTTCTGAAGACTGTGCAATGTTCATCTCACTCACCTTCTCACTCAAATGTGAGAAGAATGTTGCAAAAACTAGATAGGGCCAGTCAACTGCTTTAGCATCATGTATAATGCAAACAATTTGCCCAATTAAATCATCCCACAAGAGGTATATTTTTATTAAGTCATTCAATGTACCCATTAAGCAAACCTGGAAAATATAGTAATATAGGTGCAGAAATTGTACGTCACGTTATGTCATCAAGAGAAAGTGCACAAGGCAAGTAACACTGATGGCACATTAGTTACTCACAGGGAAATACATGGGCTGCACTTTGTATGAATTTTGTCCAGAGAAAATGGAGTTTAGCAACCATATTTTTGTTCATTTGTTCTAGTTTTCCCTGTCATTAGGATGCGACTGTGTCTTGTTGTCAACCTGTTTCATGCCTACAGTCTTGCAAAATCATCTTATGTCATCTTATGCTGCTGCTTGCTGTCTGTGTAGATGACTGGATTTAAACACCCTGACATGGTTCCTACCAACAGGTTGGAGAACTATTGGGAAGTCAGTATTACTTCTCACTCAGAGATAGTAGGAACTGCCAATGCTGGAGTCTGAGATAACAAGGTGTAGAGCTGGAGGAACACAGCAGGCCAGGCAGCATCAGAGGAGCAGGAAAGCTGACGTTTCAGGTTTGGACCCTTCTTCAGAAATGGGGGAGGGGAAGGGGACTCTGAAATAAATAGAGAGAGGGGGAGGCGATGATCCACCTTCCATCATCGCCTTTAGTGGGAAGTCAGTATTACTTCTGTAGGGAAGACCCAACCAGATTAGGTGCCAGTTTAACTAGCCAGCAGGGGACACCCCCTTGATTTAGGACCCTGGTGGTAGAAACCCCATCTGGAAAGAGCTGCCAGCAATTGGAGACTGACAACTGCTGATGATGCTCCAGGGACTTCAGGAGGGATTGTTGCTGGTTCCTGGGCTCAGATGAGTGAGGATGGGACAAGAGTGATGGCACAGGGCTCAGAGACAGAGGTGTGGTTTTTGGTAACCTCTTCCATGCTTTATCTACCATGCTAGGTTCCCCAGTCAAGCACAAATTGTTTGACAATGAGGGACTGGTAGGTTCCTGACAAACCTTATAGGATTGTGCTGGTAAGCCTTTAAGAGATAGGAAATGGCATGTAACTCAATTTAATCTCTGAGACACTACTAAATTTCAACGGACTATCTATTAACTTATTAATTAGCCTAATTAACATCTTGCCATCAGTGAGCACGAATCCTGCATCAACCTCTTCTTTGAGACTAATGTCCTGCTATACTTGGTTCTTTGGTTCGGGCTCTGATGGGATGACTAAAATCCATCCAGAGATTTTTGAATAATGTAGCTCTTCTGAGCAGTTCAGTTCAATCATTTTCTGAAATGTAGACATTTGTATTCTAGTCATGCCTCTCTTCCTGAATACCATTCCGTTTCTGGTTATGAATCTGTCCCTCTTGGGAAGGAAGTGGCTTTGCACATCATTATGCTGGGCCATGACAAATCCCAAATTTGCCTGCACTAACTCTGAAGCTGTGATGGCTGGCCAGCCCTGTCTGCTTTGTAACACTTCCTGCACCATTTGATTGAGTGAATAGGAGGGCTGGGTGCTGCACTATCTTTAGAAATAGAATGCTCATCCTTTGTATTCCCACTCTTCTATTATATTACAGCCATCTAGTATATTCCAATAATGACTCTGCCATTGGGTTCCTGTCAGTTGGTTTTTGCATCATTATTTCTGCCATGCAAGCTTTGCACACAGCGTAAATAAACTGTTTAAAATTATTTGCAAGTATGTATCATTTTTCAACTTCTGGAAAATAAAAGGTTAACATCCAAAAGGAGACACTTATGTTTCACAATCAGTGAATATCACATGATGTTAACTGTGGTGTCTTTATTCATTCATGGCATTGCAACATTTCTAGTCATCCCTAACAGCCCTCAAAATGTGGTAGTAAGCCACTTCTTAGACCATTGCATATGGTGAAGGTACACCCATTGTGCTACAATGAAGGGAGTTCCAGGCATTTGATCTAGTGGAGAAGTGGCAATATATTTCCAAGCTAGGAATGGTATGTAGCTTGGAGGGGAACTCAGAAGGGGTAGTGTTGCCTTGTGCCTTCTGCCCATGTCCTTCCAGGAGGTAGAGGTCAGAAATTTGGAAGGTGTTGTCAAAGGAGCTTTGGCAAGTTGCTACAGTGCAGGTAGGTGTGCACACTCCTGCCATTGTAACTTGCTGAGGAGGGAGTGAATGTTTAAGATAATGTGCAAATCAAACAAGCTGCATTGTCCTGGTTGGCACTGAGTTTGTTCAGTGATGGAACTGCACTCATCCAGGCAAGTGGAAAGTATTTAGTCCCACACATGACTTGTGTCCTGTCGATGGTGGCTAGAATTTGTGGAGTCAGGATGTAAGTTTCTTGACAAAAAATTCCAGGCCTCTGACCTGTTCTTGTAGCCACTATATATTTGGTTTGTCCATTCAGTTTATACAGTTCAGTTTCTGATCAATGGTAACTCTCAGGATGCTGTTACTGGAGGATTCAGTGACAGAGATGCCATTGAATATCAAGAGAGGATGGTTGGACTCCAACTTGTTGGAGGTAGCCATTTGCTGGCAGTTGTGTGACACAAATGGTAATTTGCAACCGATCAGCCCTAGCCTCAATGATGTTCCAATCTTGCTACATATGGACGTAGGCAGCTTAAATATCTGAGGAGTTTTAAATAGTGCTGAAGCTTGTGCAATCAGCCGTCATCGATTTCCATCTCTGCCCCTGTAGTGAAAGAAGGTGAGAAGGTGAAGACTTGGATAGTCATATTTAGGTTTCATTCAAGAGCTTGGTGCAGAGGTAATGAGAGGTCAGGAGGTTAGTTATGTTTGCATACATTTTAGTGATGTTTTCTAACCCTTACTTGAACAGCTTGGGTGTTAACAGTTAAGTACATTAATAAAAATGGTAGAAGAGAATGAAAGATGTGCTGTTGCCTAACAACAGGGATTCAGACATACAGAGAAACACAACTGTCCAGAAAGGTAGTCAGTGTGTGATGTATGCCAGAGAGTGAAGGGTTGCTGGACACTGGGTTTAGGAAATCCATGTAGTTGCCCTGAAGTATCAGTGAGTTTAGTTTGTAGTTTGTCTTGGGGGTCTTTGTGAGGGACACCTTTGAAGGGATAAAGCATTTAGTGGCTGCACAGAAATTTATCTTAAGAAGCCAGTTAAAGCTATACCAGTATGTGTTTGATTGAAGTGCCACAAAATGGAAATGGTGGTAACCTCACTAAGATTTGAGTGTTTGTAAGAATAAAAGGAATAGAATGAGTTTGAATCCTTTTCTGATTTCTGCAATGGAATTTTTCCAACCTTTAGTTTAGTTTAATATAGCATAGTGCATGTTTTTAAACCTTGTATAATGAAACCAATTCATATTTAATATTTCTTTTTAAATAATTCCTTTTGAAAGCATGTGGTAATGCCTGGATTTTTTTAAAGGGTCAAGGAAAAGACCTTAGAACTTTATTTGAGCAATTCCTCTCAGAATCATGTGACTTGTGATAATTATTGGTCTTGGTTACTTTAACTCAATTCATGTAAAACTCCTAACTGTTTATGATTAGGCTTTACAGCTGGCCAGTGTAAATTGTGGTTTCAGACTTAGAGTTTTTATTTTAGATTTAGTTGGGAAAGATCTTCTAAGAATAAGCTGTCTGGCACATGTCTCCAATTTATGAAGCACCTTTGTGGTGAATTAAGTGTGAAACCTATGGAAGTCAGTGACCAAATGAGCTTCTAAAGATTGTATTTCCTGAGCAAGCTATGTCTGCTGAGACCACAGAAAAAACTGTAATTTGACCACATGTGCAAGTCCACCAGGTGGGCAGACTTTAAAACATTCTATACCTCAATCTTTTTGTCCTCAAGTAAAGGCACCCTTGGCCAAGAAGTGCAGAAATGTGTTTATTTTCCAGTGTGTGTGCACAACATTCAAATTATATGTGTTAACCAACTCTGCATCTTCATTGGATAGGTTTAGTTTTATAATAAATTACTAATGTTTACTAAAGCAGTTTCGTTGATGAATCTTTTCACAGAGGAAAAGCATACAAGTGGCCTTACTAGGACTTTGGTAAAACACTTTTAAAATTATGTTCTGAGTAGTACAGCAATGGGACTAGAGAAACTCAGTGCACTGCTCTGTTCCCATATTGGTTATAAAATTTGCTAATAAATATTTTATTCTTTCAGTTAGAGGTACACTGGCAAACTCTTGTGAACGTATTCAATAACTGACCTCCATGGTAACAAAAAAACAGTTAGGATCTAACAAACCAGGTTTCACTCTAGGATCTGACTTGTCTGGTATTAACATCAGTTGGGATTATAACAGTACAAAGTCCCCAAATTGATGCTAGGTGCTCCATCCAGTTTTGCTTTTAATTTTTCATCTGTAATGGATTGAAACAATTGGCTGGCTTGCTTAACCACTTCAGAGGGCAATTAAGAGTCAACCACACTGTTGTGGGTCTGAAGTCGAGGGAAGCATCCAGGTATCTTGCCTAAAGGACATTAGTGAATCAGCTGGGATTTTATGACAATATGGCAGTGTCGTAGTCACTGTTACTTGGACTATATATGGAATTCATTGCCACAGGAGGCTATGGAGGCCAGGTCATTAACTATATTTAAGACAGAGATAGATAGGTTCTTGATTATCAAGGGGATTAAATATTATAGGGAGAAAGTGGGAGAATGAGGTTGAGAAATTTATTAGCCATGAGTGAATGGTGGAGCAGACTTGATGGGCCGAATGGCCTAATTTCTGCTCTATGTCTTGTGGTCCTGACCACTGATAGAAATACTGGTAGAAATCCTGCACCACTTTTTACTGGGATGTCTGACACATTAATGAGGAAATCAGATACTTAAATGGACACTGTGAGGCTTCCTGTCAGACTAAGGTGGAACTCTCAGGCCCAAGAACTGCTGGCCAGGCACATCATACAATTCCTTGAAATCTCCTTTCCTGGGTACACAGACACAGACACAGACACATACACACACACACAAACATACATGCATATATATCTTCTGGAGGCAAAGGAGACCCCTATGAGCCTCATTTATTCCCTGAAGCATCATGAATCCCTGTGGGAGCAGGGATATTTTGATTGAAGTGGCTCATTTCCAAGCCGAATGTCACATGCTCAAATGGACAGTTTTCTTGCTGTCAAAATTCAGATGTGAGAGATTTTGTGCAATCCTCCAAGCCCACTCACCATCTTGCTCACTTCAGCAAGCTCCGCTGAATTTCATTCAGTATTCCAGTTTTAGAAGTTGTTGAATTTTTCTGCTCATTGCTTTTGCTTGAGTACAGTACTTAAGTTGCTATCGTACTTCAGTGATATATTGTAAACCAATTGCAAAGCTCAAAAGAGGATGCTTAACTTAGTTTGGAAACAGACCTCCCTAGCAGAAAGTTTAATAGTACTGGATTCAACAGCTCTTCATGATATTTTTTATCAGTTTTGATTGTCAAAAGTGACAGTTTGAAATATTTATTTTAAAGGAGCTCCCCAAACTGGATCAGGAACTTACATCATCTGATGCTGACTTGCCCTGGAATCGAACCAAGAATCGCTTTGCAAATATAAAGCCATGTAAGTTCTGTTAAATAATTTGATTTAGAGGACCTTTGCAGAAGGAAAATCTGAAATATTTTTCAGAAAGTGCTTCAATGAATGTGTAAAGTTTCATTTCTCAATAACATGTCAGTAGTGGTGCAAAAAATTATAATGTATTATTCAAAATGCTACAAACAAATGTCATTTTATATCTGACCATAACAAGGATCAATGAAGTTCTCCAGCTAATTAACTCAAATGACATTATATTTATGAGAAAAGTTGTATTTTATATTAAGAACATGGGGACAACTAGACAAACATATGTAAATTATTTCCTGCAATAATTTTTTTGTGTAATATTCGTTCAGTTGGATATAAATTCAAGATTGGGCATTAGGGCTAGAACAGCCATGTTTTCCCCAGAAAGTCAAGAAGACTTCTGTTAAAGATCAGTCTCCACTTTAGCATATTGTTTTCCAAATCAAACATTTCCTCATCTGAAAGTGCTCAAAAAATTTGATGAATTACCTGATTCTCGTTTTGTCCCCCCTATTATTCGTTTCAAATTTATTTCACATTCATGAAGCACATTTTAAGAGGTCAAGTGAGAAATGCGCGTGTAATTTTTGCCAACGATGCTGTCAAACTGACCACTAGGAGATGCACAGGAGCTGCTTCGAATGACTTAGTCTCTGGACTTTTTCCTTTTCTTTATGGAACTACCTGGTTCCTGCTTGCTACATTTTGGTAAAAACACAACCCAGTCAATAACTCTCATTGCATGAGATCTCCAAACACAGTTTGGGTCCTTCAGGTTGGTTTTTAGTTAATAAGTCCCAAAAAACAGGATCTCCATTTGAGTTGCTGAAAACATCAAAGCAGCCTAGTTATTTTTGGTAACTGTGTTAGAGACTACAATGAGCTCTATCACACAGGCTAAAGAAGTTAATTTCAGTACCTACCCAGCCTCTCTATATTAGGAATGAGACTGTGGGTAGGCATGAAAGTGGCATTTGGGCCCCCAATGACGATGCCAAAAACACACCCAGCCGGCACATACAATATCCAGCCAATTAATTTTTACAGCTATTCCTAAGATTAGCATTATTATTCTGAGTGAAACAAACCAAAAGCAGTTCATGATTAGTATTAGTAGCGGGAATGGCCCAGTAGTAGACGATGGCCTAGTGGTATTGTTGCTGGATCCTGAATCCAGAGACTCAGGTAATGTACTGGCGACCCAGATTCAAATCCTGTCCTGGCAGATGTTGGAATTTGAATTCAATGATATTATTTGGAATTAAGAGTCTAATGATGACCACAAATCTATTGTTGATTGTTGGAAAAACCCATCTGGTCCACTGATGTCCTTTAGGGAAGGAAGCTGCCATACTCACCTGGTCTGGCCTACATGTGACTCCAGACCCAGAGCAATGTAGTTGACTCTTAACTGCCCCCTAGGCAATTAGAGATGGGCAATAAATACTGGCCTAGCCAGTGACGCCCTCATCCCATAAACAAACAAAAAAAGTGTTAGTACTAGTGTAGTTCTGTTAGTAATCCAAAATAATGTGTTTCCCAATCAGAGGGACTTTTCTCAGAATGACATGGGCGTTGGCTGAAAATGTCTTATTTTTTTCAATTATTAAATGGTGAGATGGGGTCACACTAGTGAATGGTGAAAGGCCTATTTGCATGTATTCGCAGGAATTAACAATTATTATAGGCTAATCTCACATCATTTATGTTAAAGTTCACATTCGCCCACCTGCCAGATTAAAAAAATGGTGATAATTTCTGACACGAATGTCAAATGTGTTGCTGTACATCATTGAGCTTATGCTTTCACCATGTACCATTAGCGTACATGGTAAACACAAGTGCATCAACCAAATGACTATGTCTCAAAGTCAAAGGAGAATCAAATCAAGGGAAATCCTCTTCAGTCAGGATAATAAGTCAAGGGCAATCTTTAATATCAGTCATGGAGCTGTGGTACAGTCAGTCAGCCCCTTAGGGTGGTATTTTCAGGGGGTCTGTATCTCTAGAGTCTGGGGAATGCACCATGGCCATTCTCATGCATTTTGTGCAACCAGCCCAAGGATGCATGGGATATCAGTCAGGAAGCTGCATAAAGATCAGTCAGGGGTCTGTTGTGTCATCAGTTTGGCCATATGTCCCAGACAGTCAAGTGGGTGAGCCACAGTCAGTCCTGATGTTCCATCCACTAAAATTCAAGGGCCAATTATCAGGGGACAATGCTGCGGGAGGGAAGCTGTGAAACTCAAGAATGGGGATTGAAAGTAGCGTGATCAGATGTATAGGGAATGACACTTATAAAAGGGGAGTAACACAATATAATGGAGGGAGGCAATAGGGAATTGGAAGGGGTAATTCAGGTCTGGTTTTGATCCTCATAGCAGTAAATTGCTGAATTTAGAGCTCCCCACTACTAGCCTTGTCTCATGTCTGCCCTATTGTGTTTTTTTTTGGTTCCTGGAATGAAGCAACAGAAGAGTGAGATGAATGTTTTTGACATAGCTGTGAGGGATGAGGTGTTCCAAGACAGTGGTGGGATGTTGGGATTGGTGAGAGCAAGTGAGGGAAAGAGTTCAGCCCTTCTCTCCACCACCCAATCGACTAAGAGACATTTAGATAGGTACATGGATGGGATAGATAAGCAGGAAAGTGGACTAAATGCGGGCAAAAGGGACTGGTTTAATTGTGGGTAGCATGGGCATGTTGGGCTGAAGCGCCTGTTTCCATGCTGTAGCCATCTATGACTTAAAACCTTCAGGTCCCTTTCCACAAATGGGATGCCAATTTTTCCGTGATATAACAAGGTGTAGAGCTGGATGAACACAGCAGGCCAAGCAGCATCAGAGGAGCCTAGACCCTTCTTCAGAAATGGGGGAGGGGAAGGGGATTCTGAAATAAATAGGGAGAGAGGGGGAGGCGGATAGAAGATGGATAAAGGAGAAGATATATGGAGAGGAGGCAGACAGGTCAAAGAGGTAGGGGTGGAGCCAGTAAGGGTGAGTGTAGGTGGGGAGTTAGGGAGGGGATAGGTGGGAGGAAGGACAGGTTAGAGAGGTGAGGACAAGCTGGGCTGGTTTTGGAATGCGGTAGGGGGAGGGGAGATTTTGAAGCTTGTGAAGTCCACATTGATACCTTTGGGCTGCAGGGTTCCCAAGCAAAATATGAGGTGCTGTTCCTGTAACCTTCGGGTGGCATCGTTGTGACACTGCAGGAGGCCCAGGATGGACATGTCGTCGAAGGAATGGGAGGGGAAGTTGAAATGGTTCGCGAATGGGAGGTGCAGTTGTTTAGTGCGAACCGAGCATAGGTGTTCCGCAAAGCAGTCCCCAAGCCTCCGCTTGGTTTCCCCGATATAGAGGAGGCCACATCTGGAACAGCAGGTACAGTATACAACATTAGTAGATGTGCAGGTGAACATCTGCTTGATGTGGTAGGTTTACTTGGGGCCTGGGATGGGGGTGAGGGGGGAGGTGTTGGGGAAGGTGTAGCACTTCCTGCAGTTGCAGGGAAAAGTGCCGGGTGTGGTGGGCCTGGAGGGGAGTGTGGAGTGGACAAGAGAGTCACTGATAGAGTGGTCCCTCCGGAAAGCAGATAAGGGTGGTGAGGGAAAAATGTCCTTGGTGGTGGGGTCAGATTGCAGATGGCGGAAGTGTCGGAGGATGATGCGTTGGATCCGGAGGTTGGTGGGGTGGTACGTGAGGACGAGGGAGATTCTGTTTTTGTTGTTATTGCGAGGAGGGGGTGTGAGGGATGAGTTGCGGGAAATGCGGGAGACACGGTCGAGGGTGTTCTCAACCACTGAGGGGGGGGAAGTTGCGGTCCTTGAAAAATGAGGACATCTGAGATGTTTGGGAGTGGAATGCCTCATCCTGGGAGCAGATGCGGCGGAGATGAAGGAATTGGGAATAGGGGATGGCATTTTTGCAGGAAGGTGGGTGTAAGGAGGTGAATTCTAGGTAGCTGTGGGAGTCGGTGGGCTTGAAATGGATGTCGGTTTCCAGGTGGTTGCCAGAGATGGAAACAGAGAGGTCCAGGAAGGAGAGAGAGGTATTAGAGATGGTCCAGGTGAACTTAAGGTTGGGGTGGAAGGTGTTGGTGAAGTGGATGAACTGTTGGAGCTCCTCGTGGGAGCACGAGGCGGCGCCGATACAGTCATCGATGTAATGGAGGAAGAGGTGGGGTTTAGGGCCAGTGTAGCTACGGAAGAGGGATTGTTCCATGTAACCTACAAAGAGGCAGGCATAGTTTGGGTGCAAGCGGGTACCCATGGCCACCCCCTTTGTCTGTAGGAAGTGGGAGGAATTGAAAGAGAAGTTGTTAAGGGTGAGGATGAGTTCGACTAAGCGGATGAGGGTGTCAGTGGAGCGGGACTGGTCGGGCCTGCGGGACGCGAAGAAGCGGAGGGCCCTTAGGCCATCTGCACGGGGAATGCAGGTGTATGGGGACTGGACGTCCATGGTAAAGATGAGGTGTTGGGGACCAGGGAATTGGAAGTTCTGGAGGAGGTGGAGGACGTGGGTGGTTTCATGGACATAGGTGGGGAGTTGCTGGACCAAGGGGGAGAAAATGGAGTCCAGATAGGTGGAGGTAAGTTCGGTGGGGCAGGAGCAGGCGGAGATAATGGGTCGACCAGGGCAGTCAGGTTTGTGGATTTTGGGAAGGAGATAAAAATGGGCGGTGCAGGGTTGGGGAACGATGAGGTTGGAGGCTGTGGGTGGGAGGTCACCTGAAGTGATGAGGTTTTGGATGGTTTGGGAGATGATGGTTTGGTGGTTGGGTGTGGGGTCATGATCAAGGGGGCGGTAGGAGGAGGTGTCAAAGAGCTGGCGTCTGGCCTCAGCGATGTTGAGGTCAGTGCGCCATACTACAACTGCGCCTCCCTTGTCCGCGGGTTTTATGGTGAGGTTGGGATTGGAGCGGAGGGCTGCACGTTCTGTGGGTGAGAGGTTGAAATGGGTGTGGGGGTGGAGAGGTTGAGGCAATTGATGTCTCGACAGCAGTTGGAGGTGAAGAGGTCAAGGGAGGGTAGGAGGCCTTGCGGTGGTGTCCAGGAGGAGGGGGTGTGTTGGAGGCGGGAGAAGGGGTCAGTAGAGGGAGGGTTAGGCTCACGATTAAAGAAGTAAGCGCAGAGGCAGAGGTGGCGAAAAACTGTTCAACATCCAAGCGTGAGCAGTATTTGTTGATGTTTGGGAGTAGGGGGACAAAGGTGAGCCCTTTACTGAGGACTGACTGTTTGCCCTCAGTAAGGGGGAGGTCTGGGGGGATGGTGAAGATTCGGCAGGGCTGGATGCTACTGTCTCCTCTGGACCTGCTGGCTGTGGAGGCGGTGGGCGGAGCGACATCGACAGTGGGCGGAGCCAGGTAGGCGGTGGGAGGAGTAGAGTCGGTCGGTAAGTCCTGGATGTTGGTTGCTGCGGCGGCAGCAGCAGTGTCGGCAGGTGCGTCTTTGATGTCTGTGGTGTTGGCCTTGGAAACGGAGGTAGTGGCATCAGCAGCGGTGTCGATGGCGTTCGCTGTACCGGAAGTGGCGTACCCGGCTGCGGCGGATGTGACGTCATCCATGGGCGCTCTGACAGTGGCCACATGGCCAATGGCGGCGGGCACATTGTGGGGCAGGTCCTGGGTAGGGTTGGGGATTTGGTGGGTGGAGGATGCCTGTGTTGGGTGACAGGCACCAGTAAGTTTACTGTACTTACGGTTTTTAGTGTCCAATAAAGCCAAGTGGAATTGTGAGTTCAGGTTGTGGATGCTGCGAAGAATGAAAAACAGGAGATGTCCTTTGTAGGCCTAGGCGAGGGAAGCTCTGAGCTGGGGTAGGCTTCATTGTAGTACCAGGAGATGCCGGCGCATCGCTGTGTGTGTGTGTTTCAGGAGTCACAGGGAGAAACGTTTTGAAGGATCTCAATGCTATGAATGTAGACATTGCCACCGTTGGGGCCAAATTGGGAAGGCCTGAATGTGGACTGTAGGCCATTGGGGATGATCCGGTTCCGTAGGCAGGTACTAAGAAAGGTAATGTGGCTGTAGTACCTGGTTTGCTTCAGGACGTGGTCAAGCAGTTTCAAGGCCGAAGAGATTACGAGAGAGTTGCAGTGGGACAGAGATCCACTGAGGTCTTTCCGGAGGGAGGAGGGTAACTTCTTCAAGGTAGGCATCCTTAGAAGAGGCTTCGCCGTTGAGTTAAAATTGTTTCAGAGATAGTAGGAACTGCCGATGCTGGAGAATCTGAGATAACAAGGTGTAGAGCTGGATGAACACAGCAGGCCAAGCAGCATCAGAGGAGCAGAAAAGCTGACGTTTCGGGCCTAGACCCTTTTTCAGAAATGGGGGAGGGGAAGGGGAAGGGGGTTCTTAAGTAAATCGGGAGAAAGGGAGAAGCGGATAGAAGATGGTTAAAGGAGAAGATAGGTGGAGAGGAGACAGACAGGTCAAAGAGGCAGGGGTGGAGCCAGTAAAGGTGAGTATAGGTGGGGAGGTAAGGAGGGGATAGGTCAGTCCAGGGAGGACAGACAGGTCAAGGGGGCAGGATGAGGTTAGTAGGTAGGAGATGGGGGTGGGGCTTGAGGTGGGAGGAGGGGATAGGTGAGAGGAAGGACAGGTTAGGGAGGCGGGGACAAGCTGGGCTGGTTTTGGGGGAGGGGAGATTTTGAAGCTTGTGAAGTCCACATTGATATCATTGGGCTGCAGGGTTCCCAAGCGAAATATGAGGTGCTGTTCCTGCAACCTTCGTGTGGCATCGTTGTGGCATTGCAGGAGGCCCAGGATGGACATGTCGTCTGCGGAATGGGAGGGGGAGTTGAAATGGTTCGCGACTGGGAGGTGCAGTTGTTTCGTGCAAACTGAGCGTAGGTGTTCCGCAAAGCAGTCCCCAAGCCTTCGCTTGGTGTCCCCGATGTAGAGGAGGCCGCATCTGGAACAGCGAATACAGTATACCACATTAGCGGATGTGCATCTGCTTGATGTGGAAGGTCTTCTTGGGGCCTGGGATGGGAGTGAGGGGTGAGGTGTAGGGGCAGGTGTAGCACTTCCTGCGGTTGCAGGGAAAAGTACCGGGTGTGGTGGGGCTGGAGGGGAATGTGGAGCGGACAAGGGAGTCACGGATAGAGTGGTCCCTCCGGAAAGCAGATAAGGGTGGGGTGGGAATTTTTCCTTGTTTGCCATGCCTGAGAAAAATGGCATAATTGACAAAATTAACATAATTGGTCTCTCACTGAGACTGAAGCACACAATGTTGTAAGTTGTATTTTGACAATAAACAGAAGTTTATTAAGCAAAAGAAATGAAGACAAAGTAGAATTAACCAATCTGTTTAAAATAACACAAATTCAAAGTTTTAAACACAAAAGTATAATCCCATTAATCTCAAAACATTCCCTTATAAATTTTTAAAATCCATTGTATAGCACCCAACAGCCTCCCTATAATACTTCTACAATACTTGCACCAGAATCCTTTGTTCTAACATCTCGATAGGTTTAAGGTAACTGTGACTTTAACTCCTCGACTGGAACCTTTGATAGTTTACTCCTGCAGTTATCATACACCTGAGTTTAAATTAATTCAGCTTCCAATCCTTTTCAGGGTTTTATCCAAAAACTTGCAGTTGGGGTTTATCACTAACTCCTTACTTTAAGGTTATTGAGTTTTACTACATTCTAGACTTCTCAGGACCACTGCTTTGTACATGTACCTTCATGCAAGGACTTCACAGCAATGCCCCATTCAGAGTAAAACTGAAACCAAAAGTCTCCCTCTCCATGCTATGGGTGTATCTATCCGAGTTAACAAATGTATCTATTTGACTTAAAAAAACACTTAGGCCGGAAATGTGGAACAGAAACAGTAAGGTACAATTGTCTACCTTGCTAGGTCATAAAATCCTAAAGGAAATAAAAACCTATTAAGCTGCCAAAGTGGCCCTCATGAACTGTTCTAAAACAAATCACCGTGGCTACAGAAATACTTATAAGTTCATCATTAACTTCAGGTGCACAAAAACCCCATATGTGATTAACTGAAATTTCAAAACTCAAAATTAAAATAATATTCAAATTTTATGTAAATCAGATTGTTGATATCTACAAAGCAACATGTCATGTGGCTTAAAAAAAGGCTAGTGAAAATAAGCCATGTTATTTCAAACATTTTTTTACTCTTTTTATTATGACGCAAGACAAATTATAAAAGTATTAATGTAAACAAAGAGAATGAAATGAAATTAAGGAAATTATCTTAAGACTTCTTTAACTTGAAATTTGACTGGAGTTTGATGCAATATTATCCTTATTAATGCATTAATCATGTTTTAAGTTACTGCTGACATTATGCTTCACTTAGAGCATCTGGAAAAAGTAAGATTTATGAGAACTTTAATATCAGTAACTTTGACTTTTCAAGATGCATAATAAATATTACAAAGTGCAACTTTAATGTCACTTACACAAACATTAAACAACAGGTACATGAAACAATCTACTTAATACCGTTTAAGATTTGTAATCTAATCCAACTGCTCAATAAAATTAGCATTCTTTATTTCTTTCCACAAGGTGAGAATTTAGAAACGTAGAATCTGATTTATTTAGAGTGTAACACTGTGTTTTTAGGACTACTTGTAAGAATACTGCAATAGACAAAAAATCGAAATAAAGTTTATCATAAAGCCAGGGCTAAGATCCTATCAGAAAACAGAAATTGCTGGAAAAGCTCAGCAAGTCTGGGAGCATCTGTGGATAGAAATCAGAGTTAACATTTCCGGTCGAGTGACCCTTCTTCAGAAAATATTCTCTTACTTTATATTTAGCAGTCGGAGATTGAGGTCACTGCATCATTTTTAGTTCGTAAAGGAAGAATGTCTTTACGTGTTAAGCTTTATCTGCAAAACAAGTTGGAGAGCATACCATTCCTTAACTAATGTAGCTTCATTTTGTTCTTTAATCTATTTGAAACAGCCGGTCTTAGTTTATGTGTATGATATTATCAGCACTATACATATGATTTAGAATGAATTAACAACAACATTATCAGCAAACATAAATGTAACTATTTAATATTTATTTTATGTAGATAATAATAATCGGGTGAAACTCATGCTTGAGGCTGGTGTCCCAGGGTCTGATTTCATCAATGCTAGCTATGTTGCAGTGAGTATATCTATATTTCATTCTCCAGCAGCAAGGCAAATATAGTTAAAATTAATTTCACTAACCATCATAAGAATGTAGTATTTACATTAGTTGCAATATCACTCATGTTAGAGTATTTAAAAGCATTTAGGGTTTTATTAAAATTCACCAGGGAATGTGACCACTAATGGCAAGCCAAGGGTCAACCCTTGAGTAGCTGGTCATGACACCATCTTGAACTACAGCTGCTCATGTGGTGAAGGTACACCCACAGTGCCGTTAAGTAGAGAGTTCCAGGAGTTTGACCTAGTCACAATGAAGGAACAGCATTGTTGTTGAGAAAAATTATTTTCAATAATTCTAAGTTTCCTACTTCTTACTAGTTGTTGTTGCCTTAGGAAAATACACATGAGCCTATGTTCTGTGGCTAATAATGATCAGTTATCAATTCTATCTTCGCACTGTCATTGAATGTCTCTCAATGTCTGGTCTACCACAGTACAGTTGCCTACAGCATGATGGCAAAATTAGTAAAGATTACATTCGAATAGTAGGAAAGGGAGGGACATTGCAATGACAAAAAAAAACCAGGCAAGAATAAACCTTCCTTGTTTGCAATTGATAGCAAAACTATAATTAGGTTCATTTTGTACGTGCTTTGACTTTTTTACAATTAGAGACCAAAGAAAGAGCTTTCACTTATATAGCACCCTTCTTATGAGACATGCAAAGGCAAAGTTGGAGGTTTGACTGGGAGGAAAATCTGCAAGGTCAGTTTTGGATCAGTGAGTCCACCAAGTAGAGATGGATGGCCAATAAGTGTCAATTAATTGAACATGGACCCAGATTAGTGAAGCTATTTGGATCTTACCAACAGCAGACAGGTTTTATATGACTGACAAAGCCCATCATGTCCTTGGAGATGGCCTCCCAGTTTCAGGCCATGGTGCCATCAAGGCCTTCTTAATTTAACCCTATGCAGCATAAACATTAATATGGACTAATTGTGCTGAATGGCCTGTTTTTAATTCAACATAATGTTGGGAAACAATGCATCCAACCCCCTCTTAGCAAAATCCTATAACAGCAATGAGATAAATTGAGTTTTTTTCATGCAACTTGCAAGAGCATTGGAATTCTCTCCTTTCCAGATGTGACCTCAGTTTGGCTTATTAACATATTTTCTAATCAACCTGTTCAGAGATTTTATTACACACCTCTGGAGCAGGTGGTACTTGAACCTGGGTCTCCTGGTCCAGCGGTAGAGACTCTACCTCTCATCTGAGAGATAATACCTTCGACAGTGCAGCACTCCTTCAGCACTCCTGTCAAATATATATTCAAGCCACTAAAGTTCGGGGTTTGATTCCATTCCTCTGATGGAGTGGTAAAGATGCTATATCATAGGGTAGCAGTCAGAATTATTCTTTGAAATATAAATTAAGAGAATAATTAGAACATTGTTATATGTAGTCATTTTATTTTAATGTATTTTTCATCCTTATATTTGCAATTTTAATAGGGTTACTTATGTCCAAATGAGTTTATCGCTACTCAAGGTCCATTACCAGGAACAGTGGCAGATTTTTGGAGGATGATTTGGGAAACGAGAACTCAATCCATAGTCATGTTGACACATTGTTTTGAAAAGGGCAGAGTAAGTCACTGTTAAAAACAATGATATATTGTGAAATGGAACTTGTGTGCACAATATTTTAGTAAATAGATTAATGAAACTAACTGGTCAGACTTATCAGAATGATGTAAATAAAGAGAAATAGTTTCATGAAAATGAAGATGAATATTTATCCTAAATTGTAATTTAGTGAAGTATAGCATCAGGATTGTTGATGGATTAATTGCATAAGATATTCACTTAACCAAATTTGTATACTTCTAGCAGCTATGCCAGCATTGCATTGACCTGGGCTCCACTATAACATGCAAAGCTAGTGAGAAGATATCTTGTTTACATGAAGCTTATATACACTTGTTCCATGAGTGCTTGTAAGCCCCAGACTACTGGAAACTCTGGCACTGCTTCCAGGTGGATGCACTGATTAACCCTTGCTCCAAGAAACAATCTCTGAAGCCTCTTTGGAAGTTAACCTATGACAAACACTTTACGGGGTGTGACAGGATAGCTGTGGATTGAATATTACCCCTGGCTGATGAGTCTAGAATCAGCACACAAGTCTCAGAATGAGGAGAAGGACATTTAAGACAATGAGGAGGACCTTATTTATTCAGAAGGTGGTGAATCTTTGGAATTCTGTATGCTAGAAGATGTAAAGACTAAGTCACTGAGCAATTGCCAGACAGAAATTAATAGTTCTGAAGAGTCATATTGGAATCAAAATGTTAACTGTTTTTCTTTCCACAGATGTGCAAGACCAGCTGAGGTTCTGCAGCACTTTCATTTTATTTCATATTTCCAGTATCCATGGTACTTGTTTCTATATAGAAATCAATAGTTTTCTTCAAGTTACTGACATCCATATAATAAATAATAAGTTAAAATAGCATGATGGGAGATGGTCATCAAAAATCTGTATGATTGGTACTGCAGGCTCAATGGGCTGACTGATCCACTCCTGCTCCCACAGTGAGGTCCAGTCATTTATGTGCCCTACTTCCACAAACTCATTTATACAATGAATGTCCACTGTGTAATGTTCCACCCACTGAAACTCTAATGATTGCTCATCTATTGTTTTTTTGGAAGTAATCATGCACACTGCATTGTATATTATGCATGTGCAGTCATCCATTCACACAAGTCATATTCTTTGGGAACACATCTCCCCATAAATGGTGGGACTATTCTGTACATCTGTTGTTCCTATTTCAATGTTGATAAGTTTTAGAATGTGTCTTCAGACTGTCAGACTGTTTTCAAGCCTGTCCTCCTCATGGCTACCTATTTATCCTCGCCTGAAGATGAAAATGCATTATCTCACTGGGAGCCGCATTTCCAATCATATGCTGAAGAGTGCGAAAGTGGTACTCCCTTGCTTGGGGAATGCTAACTCCATTTTCATTGCTGGCATTTTAAGAGGTAGAGGCCCTACCTCTCAGAATGTCAAACAGCAGGTCCCAGTTTAGGTAAGGACCCAGAATTCTGATGAGAGTGAACTGAAAATATTGAGCAGTTTCAGTCTCAAGACATTTCACAATCTATTCAGATAAGTATCATCTTATGGTATACGACACTTGAAGTTACTAATGGAACATATTAAAATCTCACATCAGTATTTGATTGCAATATTTATTTTAATTTAGATTAGATGTCACCAGTATTGGCCTGAGGACAACAAGCCAGTAACTGTGTTTGGGGATATTGTAATTACTAAACTAGCAGAAGATATTCAGGCAGATTGGACTATCCGAGAACTGAAAATTGAAAAGGTACACAGTTGCTTTATGCTAAACTCACTGAAATTGATATGATAATGTCTTGGAGGAATTTTTGATATTGAAAATTATGTAGTAAGACAGCTTATCTACGTTGAGCAAAATGGTAACACAGCACTAATCTGTTTAGCCATGCTATAAATGAATGGAAACATTCAAAATTTTCATGATAAAACTAAGGCTTTTTCATATCATATCACTGTAAATGCTTCTGTACATCATGAATATGATGCCATTATCAAACTGCAGAGACTAGGGAGCAGCTCAAATGATTGAGCTAATTTTGTTAAATGTTTTTATACTATTTTAGCATAATTTTATAATAGTTTGCAGACACATTAAAATCCTGGTTTGAGATTAGTAACCGTTAACTGCACATGACAACTGGTAAACATGCCAGTCACATCAATCTGCAAACCTCACAGTAAAGAGCTCCAAGTGTGGTGAGCAATGGTGTTAACAATTTGATCATTGGTTGTGTTAGAACAATATATAACTTGAGGTTTGGTTGCTATTCGATACTTTATATTTTTTTGTATCAGGAAGAGGCTGATGAGATTTTGCTTCATTCTTAGAGTTGTTCCTGTAAATATGGTGACAGGAAGTCTGGAGGCCTGTTTGTATACATGCATTTCTATTGAGGTTTTACAACCCTTGAAGTGAAGACATGGAGATTGTTAGTTTAGGGCTTAAAAATATAGATAGCAACAGGGGTTCCGGCACACTCAAATATGCAGAAAATTCCAGAAGGGATTTCTGTCAAAGGTCAGTCAGTGTATGCTTGTGTGCCAGAGAATGGAGGCAAAAGTGTTAATATCTGGGAAGAAATACTGCAAGACCACTAGAAACTGTGGCTTGGCAACTTGTGTTTGCTCTGAAGTATGTGCAACATTGAGTTTAGTTTACAGATTGTTTTAGGTGTCAAGGAGAGATGATACCAGCTGAAGAAAAAGCATCTATTGAGTGATAAGAAATTTGCTGGAAGGAAAGAGGTTGTAGCTGTGCCAGTTTAAATAAGAAGGTTAGAGTTAGTGGTAAATCTTAACTAGGTGTTTTGTATTTTTAATAATATCACTGGAATAAAAGAAATGGTATTTTGTTTTTTTTTGTTAAAGGTACACAGGCAGATTCTTGTGATGTTCTATAATTATTCTCTGCAGGTTAAAAGTCAAAAGTAAAAGAAAATTAGGATCTATCAAACCAGGTTTCACTCTGGGATTTGACTTGTCCAGTATTAACATCACTTGGGATCCTAACAAATGTGATAACTGTGCATGGTCCTGTCCTCATTCAATGTTTATTCAAACATATTTCCAGCATGAGTTGTTGATCAGTGATTATGAATGGGAACCCTAGTGAATACTAGCAATGCTTGAGGTCAGTTTTACTACATGGAATTAAAGCTAAGATCAGCCTTGAGGTATGTGTAAATTCATTTAAATTGGCTAAAATTCAAAGTTTGAACTTTACACTAGTCAAGATAAGGAAATTAATGATAGGAAATAATTCCCTGTCATTTCAGGGGAACTGAACCAACTTAATTTAAAATCCCTTTAGGCATTCTTAACTTGATATAATGTGCTGTTCTGTAATATAATTTAAGATCTTAATTTTCTATCTTCTTTCAATGAATTTCAATTTAAGCAGTATGGTGATTATATGATGGTGACTCATTTCAACTTTACTTCATGGCCTGAACATGGTGTTCCTGAGACCTGTATACCTCTGATTCATTTTGTGAAGCTAGTTCGAGCAAACAGAGCCAATGATAATACACCTATTGTTGTACATTGCAGGTAGGAAGTTGCTGAACAAATCTATTTATCTATAGTACCTCATGGTGTTGCAAGAATTATAATTTTAAAAAAATTATCCCTGCCCCACTGGAGTTGAAGTATATTGTTATTGTAAAATGTGATGCATTGTGTGTATTCGATGTGAAATTTGGAACATTACATTAATTTTAATCATGTAAATGATTTGTGAAATTTGAAGAAAACACTAATAAATGTTGGGACACTGAGGCAGTGATTGCTCTCACTGCTGAATTTCCTCTCACCCTTTCCAGTTTTCTAAGTCACAGTGTAGTTCACAGTTGAAAGAAAGTTTTGAGGTAAATAGTTGCTTTTCCAGCCCTTAAAGAATCATAATTGACTACAAAATCAAGCGGTACAAATGAATGTTAAGTACTGCAAGTGAATCAAGTTGGAAGCAAATGTAATAATGACTAGAAGTAGTAAATACAAACAATAGTCATATTTGGAATATCATAAAAGAACCAAAAGTGCATGTAAATAATTAAATGTTCTTTGTAATTTCCATTCACAATTATAATGCTAGGTTTGGAATATTAATATGTTATTGAACAAACAAGTGGTATAGTAAGTACTGGAACTATTGGGGAGAATATTATATGTGGCTGAAAAAGATGTGTTCTTCTTGATTTCTTATTCTTAGTGCTGGAGTAGGAAGGACAGGTGTCTTCATTGCACTTGATCACCTTATACAGCATGTGAACCACCATGATTTTGTGGACATCTTTGGATTTGTGGCAGAGTTAAGAAGTGAACGAATGTGCATGGTTCAGAACTTGGTAAGTGTAAAATTTCCATGAAAGTAAACAGATCCTGTGCTAAAATGTACCAGATCATCTTTGGCCCCCTTTTCACCTTAACTTAAATGCCAAATTTCAAATATCACAGCATGATTTCTACATGTTGTTTTCATTTTGGAGCTTTCTGATATTGCCTGCAACCTCTTAATATGCTGGAGGTGGTGTCTAGCCTATGTCCTTTCAAAAAGTAAAGTAAATTTTCTGACTACTGGACTGAACTGAACAACCCAAGCCATAGATGATGGAACGGGAGACAATAAAAATAGTCAACAAAGAGTTATTCAAAAATATCTGCATATGTATTGTACAGAACATAACTAAGCTTATTCTGGCATAAATTAAAGGCATTGATATTTAGCTTCCAAAAAAGGAAACAATGATATAATTCTGATTGCAAGACATTCATCGAATACGCTGACATAAATATATGCTGTGGGATATCAAGACATGTTATATGTCAATCAGTGTTTGAGTGCTTTAAACTCTTCCAATAATATAATGCACAGAACACAATGTGGTACCTCAACTGTGACTTAACCAGTGTGTTGTCAAATCCAGCATTAATCCCTCACTTTTTTTATTCATTTGTGTGATGTGGGCATTGCTGGCTGGCCAATGTTTATTGCCCATTCCTAGTTGCCCTTGAGAAGGTGGTGATGAGCTGCCTTCTTGAACCACTGCAGTCCATGGTGCTGTGGGATGACCCACAATTCCCTTAGGGAGAGAGTTCCAGGACTTTCACCCAGCAACATTACGAAAGCAGTGGACAATGGGGAATTGGTGGATGTGGTGTATCTGGATTTCCAGAAGGCATTTGCCAACGTGCCATACAAAAGGCTGCTGCATAAGATGAAGGTGGACATTGTCACAGGTAATGTATTAGCATGGATAGATGACTATTTAACTAACAGAAAACAAAGAGTGGGATATATGGGTGTTTTTCCAATTGGCAATCAGTGGCTAGTGATGTGCCTCAGGGATCAGTGTTGGGACCACAATTGTTTACAATTTACATAGATGATTTAGAGTTGAGGACCGAGTGTAATGGCCAAAGTTCGCAGATAACACTAAGATGAGTGGTAGAGCAAAGTGTGCAGAGGACAGTGAAAGTCTGCAGAGGGATATAGACAGGTTAAGTGAATGGGCAAGGGTCTGGCAGAGATGACCTGGAGCTGAGATGATTGACGTCCAACAATCAAAGCCATCTTCCTATGTTTCAGGTATGACTCCAACCAGCAGAAAGTTTCCCTGATACCCATTGATTCCAGTTTTGCTAGGGTTCCTTGATGCCATACTCAGTCAAGTACAGTCTTGATATCAAGGGCAGTCACTCTCACGTCACCTTTGGAATTTAGCTCTTTTGTCCATGTTTGAACCAAGGCTGTACTGAGGTCAGGAGTTGAGTGGACCTGGTGGAACTCAAACTGAGTGTAACTGAGCAGGTTATTGCTGAGCAGGTGCTGCTTGATAACCGCAGTTGATGACACCTTCTATCACTTTACTGACGTTTGAGAGCAGAATGATGGGGCGGTATTTGGCCAAGTTGGATTTGTCCTGCTTTTTATGTACAAGACATACCTGGACAATTTTCCACATTGTGTCATTGATGCCAGTGTTGTAACTGTACTGGAAGAGTTTGGCTTGGGGAGCATCAAGTTCTGGAGCATATATCTTCAGTACTACTACTGGAATGTTGTCAGGGCCTCTGCTGTATCCACTGCCTCCAACCATTTCTTATATCATGTGGAGCAAATCAAATTGGCTGAAGACTGGTATCTGTGATGCTGGGAAGCTCTGTTGGAGGCCAAGATGATTTTTCTATTTGGCACTTCTAGCTGAAGATTGATGCAAATGCTTCAGCCTTATTTTTGCACTGGTGTGTCGGGCACTTCCATCACTGAGGAATGGGATATTTGTGGAGTATCCACCTTCAGTGAATTGTTTAATTGTCCACCACTATTCACGACTGGATGTGACAGGACTGAAGAGTTTAGATCTGATCCGAGGGTTATGGAAATGCTTAGCCCTGTCTATCACTTGCCACTTATGATGTTTGGCGTGTAAGTAGTCCTGTTTGGTAGCTTCACTGAGTTGACACCTCATTTTTAGGTATTCCTTGTACTGCTCCTGGCATGCCCTCCTGCAGTCTCCATTGAACCAGGGTTGATCCCCTGGCTTGATGGTAATGGTTGAGTAGGGGTTATGCCAGGCCATGAGGTTACAGATTGTGCTGGAGTTAGTTTTACTGCTGTTGATTGCCCACAGCGCCTCATGGATACCCAATCTTGAGTTGCTATATTGGTTCGTAGTCTGTCCCATTTAGCATGGTGATAGTGCCGCACAACGTGATGGAGGTTGTTCTGGATGCATGGGCAGGACTTCATCTTTGCAAAGACTGTGCGGTGCTCACTTTTACTGATACTATGATGGACAGATGCATATGCAGCAGGCAGATTGGTAAAGATGAGGTCAAGTGCGTTTCTCCCTTTTGCTGATTCCCTCACCACCTATTGCAGATGCAATCTAGCAGCTATGTCCTTTAGGACCTGATCAGGTCAATTAGTAATGCTGCTACTGATCCATTGTTGGTGGTGGACATTGAAATCCCCACTCAGAGTCCAATCTGTGCCCTTGCCACCCTCAGTGCTTCCTTCAAGTATTGTTCAACATGGAGGAGGACTGATTCATCAGCCTATAGAGGATGGTACGTGGTAATCAGCAGGAGGTTTTCTTGTCCATGTTTCACCTGAAGCCATAAGACTTCATTGGATCCAAAGTCATGTTGAGGACAGCCAGGTCAACTTCCGGCTGACTACCAAAAAAGGGCCCAAATCTAATTTGCCTTCTCTTGATAGCTTTTCCTAACCATACTTGCAGTCTTTCTTTACAAAAAGCCAGTTTTGGTCAATGACTGCATGAGCGATAAATGCATGTGACTTATTGAGATGTAGGTAGCAGAGTTTTGAATTACAGAGTTAGAATGTGGGAGGTCAGCAGGACTGCGTTGGAATAATTAATTCTATGTCACAAAGGCATAAATGTGGATTTCAGCAGCTGTAATGTAATTATGTGATTTTAATGTTATATTTATTGTTAATTTGGGTTTTTGGCTTTTTATTTAGTAACATGTAGGCTTTCTGTATGTTTGAAGTTAATAATTAAGTTGTATTTATGTAGCCATGGTGATTTATTTTATAACACTTTAAGGCCTGGCTTAAAAAATTGTGGATTTTAGTGATCACGATGGATTTTTGTTGACTTTAGCATTTTTACCCAGAAATGTGAATAATAGGGCCTTAACATTTGCTAAAGACTTCTGAAGAGGTTTTTGTTAAGCTTAAGGAAAATACCCATCGCTTAGAGAGAGAATTCTTTTCATTTTAATTTGAATTTTGAGCAGTCCAGTGAAGTGCTTCGATGAAGATACTCCTAATCAAAGAAATGCACTTAAAATATACTCAATAATACTAATTAGAGTTTGTGAATGTGAGGGAACTGTTGTTCAGTTTTCTCCAATAATTTAAGTGAGATTGCAAAACTTGCAGTTTTTCCAAAGGTTCAAAAAGGCATTTGAGACAAATTGGCTGTTCATGGCTTTTAATATTTTGTATCTTGTATAGTTCTTCAGTATGATTCAGATTTATTTGGAAAAGGAAAAGCAAAGTCATTCAGCATACAAGTGATTTCTTCTAATCCTCTCATCAACTGTCTCTCAAACACACAGCTATCTTCTGCTGTTTAATCTTGATGGTTTTGTAATGCCCCTCCAGTTAGGGAATGATATATTTTTGGACATTGTTATATCTGCATTATATTATGAAAGAATTATAACTCCATGAAACTGTGCAAATGATTTTTTTGTTTGAAACTCATATGATTAATATATTTCTAATTAAATGTTTGAAAGTTTATGGTGAACCAGTTTGCTCCATTGCACTGTATTTGATACAGATATTATTTTGGAAAATATATTTTATGTTATGTTTTAATAATGGTTTAGTTCATTTCCCAATTTCAGTTTATCTATTTTTAGTTTCTTAAAGTCTAAAAATATTTCAATGTTTGATTGAATGCAGGCTCAGTACATGTTCTTACATCAATGTGCTTTGGAGCTATTGAATAACAAAGGAACCAATCGAGCACTGTGGTTTGTAAATTATGCTGCTTTGCAAAAAATGGACTCACTAGATACAATGGAAGGTAATATGACAAATTTAAAATATACGTACAATTATGTAAAATGACCCTTTTTAGAATACTTATAGAGCTAAAGTTCCCAGTCACTACTGGGAGCCAAAAATAAATTGAAGCATATCCTAAAAATTATAGTGATCGGTGTTATTATATGAACACTTGGCACATTCATATCAAACTGTCCTGTCCACTGTTTAACATAGGTGTTTAATGTTTACTGCACAGACTCATGCATCCATTCGAAAGTCAGAAAGAAGAACTTGATACAAATATATAAAACATTCACGTAGTATTCTAGGTTTCGAAATGTCACATTGCAAGCATTCTTACGATATCACTCAGAATAATTTCCAGTGTATATTTACCAATGTGCCTCTCCTTGCCTTATCCCATAACACTCTTAAATACCACAAACACAAATATACTGGGTAGCTTCTGTATTCTAACTATATAAAAATATTTTATGTATGAATAAAGCACTAACTGTACTGTATTCTTTGCATGACTCCCAAAGATTGCATAGAAAAGGGCTTACCGGAGCTTAATGTTAGGAAGTGTTCCTGTGAGTAAGCAGGAACTCTGTCGCAGACTGTTAGGCTTCCAGTCATAGAAGCAGGGTTCAAATCACAGTCTTCATTGTCAATCAAATGAGCAAAAAATCTTGCAAAACAGGTCACACCCACTCTTGACCAGTCATAATGAAACTGTCCAACATAGCAAAGACGTCTAAAATTCATACTACAACATTGGGAAAATAATGAAAATATATATAGATATCTTTTACTAAGAGAAGTCAGATTTAAGTTTGGCATTGATGTGTTAGCCTTCTGAAAACGTTGGATCATCTTGCGTTTACGGACACTCCTAAACAGAATAAAAAAGATCAATTCTACAGCAACAGAAAAAACTGTGAGTCTCCAACAATTACCAAAAGTCATAAACGACTTAAAGTCATTTCTGAATATTGAATTGCTTGTATCAGAACAGTTCAGGCAAAGGAAACTGATGGGGAAGGAATTTTGCTCTGCAATTCTGCCCACAACTAATTTTCTTTAGGACATGACGGATGTTGAGGTTAGGGATAGATGTTTGATTACTCTAGGTCAAGTTGGTATAAGGAGGGGGGAGGTGTTGGGTATTCTAAAAGGCATTAGGGTGGACAAGTCCCCAGGTCCAGATGGGATCTATCCCAGGTTACTGAGGGAAGCGAGAAAGGAAATAGCTGGGGCCTTAACAGATATCTTTGCAGCATCCTTGAGCACGGGTGAGGTCCCGGAGGACTGGAGAATTGCTAATGTTGTCCCCTTGTTTAAGAAGGGTAGCAAGGATAATCCAGGTAGTTATAGACTGGTGAGCCTGACGTCAGTGGTGGGGAATCTGCTGGAGAAGATACTGGGGGATAGGATCTATTTACATTTGGAAGAAAATGGGCCTATTAGTGATAGGCAGCATGGTTTTGTGCAGGGAAGGTCATGTCTTACCAACTTGATAGAATTCTTTGTGGAGGTGACAAGGCTGATAGATGAGGGAAGGGCTGTGGATGTCATATACATGGACTTCAGTAAGGTGTTCAATAAGGTTCCCCATGGTAGGCTGATGGAGAAAGTGAAGTCACATGGGGTCCAGGGTGTACTAGCTAGATGGATAGAGAACTGGAGATAGTAGGAACTGCAGATGCTGGAGAATCCGAGACAACAAGGTGCAGGGCTGGATGAACACAGCAGGCCAAGCAGCATCATAGGAGCAGAGAGGCTGACGTTTCGGGCCTAGACCCTTCTGGCTGGGCAACAGGAGACAGATAGTTGTAGTGGAAGGGAGTTTCTCAAAATGGAGAACTGTGACCAGTGGTGTTCCACAGGTATCCGTGTTGGGACCACTGTTGTTTGTGATATACATAAATGATCTGGAGGAAGGTCTAGATGGTCTGATTAGCAAGTTTGCAGATGACACTAAAATTGGTGGAGTAGCAGATAGTAAAGGGGACTGTCGGAGAATACAGCAGAATATAGATAGATTGGAGAGTTGGGAGGAGAAATGGCAGATGGAGTTCAATCCAGGCAAATGCGAGGTGATGCATTTTGGAAAATCCAATTCAAGAGCGAACTATACGGTAAATGGAAAAGCCCTGGGGAAAATTGATGCATAGAGAGATCTGGGTGTTCAGGTCCATTGTACCCTGAAGGTTGATAGAGTGGTCAAGAAGACATACGGCATGCTTTCATTCATCGGACGGGGCATTGAGTACAAGAGTTGGCAGGTCATGTTACGGTTGTATAGGACTTTGGTTCGGCCACATTTGGAATACTGCGTACAGTTCTGGTCGCCACATTACCAAAAGGATGTAGATGCTTTGGAGAGGGTGCAGAGGAGGTTCACCAGGATGTTGCCTGGTATGGAGGGCACTAGCTATGAAGAGAGGTTGAGTAGATTAGGATTATTTACATTAGAAAGACGGATGTTGAGGGGGGACCTGATTGAGGTCTACAAAATCATGAGAGATATAAACAGGGTGGATAGCAAGAAGCTTTTTCCCAGAGTGGGGGACTCAATTACTAGGGGTCATGATTTCAAGGTGAGAGGGGAAAAGTTTAAGGGAGATATGCGTGGAAAGTTCTTTACGCAGAGGGTGGTGGGTGCCTGGAACGCGTTGCCAGCGGAGGTGGTAGAGGCGGACACAATAGCGTCATTTAAGATGTATCTAGACAGGTACATGAATGGGCAGGGAGCAGAGGGATACAGATCCTTGGAAAATAGGTGACAGGTTTAGATCGAGGATCTGGATCAGTGCAGGCTTGGAGGGCCGAAGGGCCTGTTCCTATGCTGTAATTTTTTTTTGTTCTTTGTTCTTTGTTCTTTACCTAAGTGCAAGCCTGCAAAGGCTACCCAAGCCCAGATGAGTGGTGGCCTAAACTAAACTTAATTCTAACTTACTAAGGGGATAGGAATACCATGGCAAACCTGCATTGGTTGCCTATTTCCATGCCCTTGAGAAGGTGGTGGTGAGCTGTTAAAGATGAACAATAAGTGCTGACCTTGCTAGCAATACACACATCACATGGTGATATTTAAAAGCATTTAAATTGAGCTTTCACCTTTCTGGGGTGAGCCAGGTACTACATTGCCTGACTGTTAAACTATTAGAACAGATTGACCATTTTAACTAAAAGAACTGCGGATTCTAGAAATCAGAAACAAAAACAGAAATTACTGGAAAAGCTCAGCAGGTATGGAATGCAGCATCTTACACTTGCCTTTAAATAAGATAAAAGTTAAGGTTTAGATTGTCTCCTTGATATATTTTGAGGGGATTTGGTCAGGTACATAACACAGCCTTTATTGTGGATTTACTGATAAACATTCCAAAATGTAAGCCTTTGCCAAAGGAGACTATTCTTATGGACTCAACCACACATGGTGGCTTGATCTCCCATTAATGCTAACACCTCATTTTGGCAGTGTGGTCAGGATTCATGATTTGGGGGCGTGGGGGATGATGCAGGATGATTTGCCGTGACCCCATAGATCCAAGTTAAAATTAGTCCCCTAGGGTGTAATCTACAGAGCTTTGTCAGTGTATGGAAAATGCACCATTAGCAGTTAAGGAATATGTGGCTTTTGCACAGGATTAAAATTGCTATGCTGTTAATACCGATTTTTCCATTAATGTATTTTAGGTGATGTGGAATTGGAGTGGGAGGAAACAACCATGTAATTCTCAGACACTGCTGAAAGATATTAAGAAGGTTCACTAAATTCATTTCAAACGGCTCTTGCAGCACAGTGTTAGTGCTGCTACCTCTCGACCAGGAGGACTAGGTTCAAATCCCACCTACTCCAGAGCTGTGTAACATCCCTGAACATGTTGATTGTAAATATCTAAATCATTTCAGGAAATTAACTTGGAAACTCTTGTATCTCTGTCCCACATTAGGGCCTTGATTTTACTATGCTGCTTATTTTTGCTCTTTTATAACTTATTGCATTTTTTTCATTGTAAAGTGAGCCAAATAAGTTGTAAAGTTTTATTTTTCATGACACTGTTGCTTTTGCTGTGCATATTTTAGATAGTAGTGTGTAATTTTATGTGTAAGTGTGTTTGGTTTGGAAGTAAATATAAATTTGAGTTCTGTATATTATTTTAATCACCAAAGTTTTATTGTGACTTTTGAATTATCTCCACTTCTGATCCAATGGTCTCCCTTTGGTTTCTGTAGCTGAACTCTGTGCACACTGGCAGAATAGTCTGTGGTCCTGAACAGCTGAACACTCACCCCTCTGACACCATAGAAATTAATCTCCCAGTGCAATTCAGACTGTAGGTCTTCAGGGACACTGTACTGTATACACATGCTACTTTGCACCAATTCAAACAAAGCTTTCAGGTTGGCCCTTGTTTTTCTCTGGATGTAATTCCATTCTGTAATTCTAAATTTTTTTTTTGTTGAAGTGAAGGAAAAATCCCTGCTTTGAGAAACCAATCCATTTTAAATTTTGCTTGCATTGAGGACCGAGCATAACATCAAGCAACCTAAGTGTAAATCTGACAATTGAGTATAAATTATACCATACAAATTTATATAAGACTTTGAGTCAGGAAAATGTTTAAATATTATTTATTTAAAAAGAGGGTTTGGACCTGAGGATACTTAATGGAGCTCTAATGTATATATTTGCTTGAATTCTTTCTCTCTATTTTAACGTAAGTGTGAAGTTGTTCATTTTATCTTGCTGGAAAGAGGCAAGTAACCAAAGCTTTCATTCTTGTGTTTTCAGAATTGCAAGAATGCCAAATTTCAGACAATCATGTCAATTTATACCACAATGAAAAGATTTGCTTATTTGTTGGCAGATTGACCCTGATTGGCTAAGGCATTATCATGGTGGTAGCAATGGGGAACTTTAGATGACTCATGCTTCCAAGTATTCAGAAGAGGCTCAAGCATTTTACACATTCCTTTCATTTGCAAAGAACTGCCATCAATCCAAAAAGATATTCAGCTCATCGCACAATAATGCAACTTCACATATGAATTTCAGTTGCCAGTGTGATACTGTATCCTTTGATTGTATAGTGCAACAATTAGTTGATCAAAAGGTGAATTAACTATACTTAATGAATGAAGTTGAAGATTGCATTATATCAAAGAAATTGGCTTATAAAAATGCCAGAGATGGTGGTAAACCTGAGGATTGGGAGTAACATATGCCCTACCTTAGGAGGAGAAGAAGCTGATAAGGAAAGAGAAAAGAGAATATGAAAGTAAGCTAGCAAGAAACAGAAATGTATACTGTAAAAGCTTGCATTGAGATGTGAAAGGGAAAAGATTAACAAGGACAAGTGAGGACCCATTACAAGTAGAAACAGAAGAATTTCTAGTGGCAAACAAGAAAATGGAAAATAAACTAGGTAGTTTCTTTCCTTTTGTCTTCACAGAAAATAAGATAAATCCCCAGAAATACAAGTCAACTAAGTGACTTTATAAACAGAGGAATAAAAAGAAATTAGTATTAGTAAAGAGGTAGTACTTGAAACAGTTTCTGGATTGAGGGTGATAAATCTTCTGGATCAGGTGAGCTTAATTCTAGAGTTTTGAAGGAAGTAGCTGTAGAGAAATTAGATGTGTTGGTGGATACCTTTCATAATTCATTAGTGTTGTCTGTGCTTTGGACACTCTGGAAAGTTTATACGTAAACTTGTTTTATTTGGGGAATACATGTGAGACAAACAAAAATGTTACAATTTTATTCACAAAATACACTAAAGACACAAAAGGAGCTGTATGGCCAAATATTACTGAAAACCCTGCTCTTTCACTATAAAACTCCAGATTCTTGTATTAATTTCACTACCAATTGCAACATTAAGTCTTTGTTGCAATCCTTATCAAAACTACTACTGGCTACCAGACTTGGCCATGCTGTATAGTTGGCTTTGATGAACTTGGTGAAGGTTGGTCCCACATGTGATCATCTTTTCCCTCTTTCTCCAAGTAGCTGGAGTTCCACTGCATTGAGTCTTCTTTGAGGGAATAGTCACCAGGTTTCCCTTCTTCTTGTCACTCTCTCAGCCAAGTGATCTTCCAGGTCACAGTGTGTCCGATGGGATCCCCAGTACCAGTTATGAAAGACTCTGGGCATTCCATTGGCATCCATTCTCTGATGTTTTAAGGGTATATCCCCCTCTCCATACATGATCATGGCAGGAACCCAGGGCTTTGGTGAGTCTGCTCAAAACTCTAATACATAAACCTCTCTGCTCCTATGATGTTGCTTGGCCTGCTGTGTTCATCCAGCTCTACACCTTGTTATCTCAGATTCTCCAGCATCTGCAGTTCCTACTATCTCTGATACATAAACCAGTCTTGTTTTCCATGGCAAGTTCGGTTTATCCTTATCTGCCTTTGTCTTGAGCAGATGCTTTGTGCTTGACATGTCCTGAAAGTCCCACTGGGCCTGGCTACTCAAAGGTTGCCAATTCTGGTTTGGGGCCTAGCTGTTCAGGCTGTGTGCTATCTGGCCACAATAGGTTCTGGGAAAAATTCCTACTGACTTGAAGGTAGTAATTGTAACCCCACTACCTAAGAAGGGAGGAAGAAAGAGAATAAAGAACAACCAGCCTATTAGCTTTGCCAAATATTAGAATCTATTGTAGAGATGTGACAACAGAACTTTCAGAGAATATTTGTAAAATTGGACAGAGTCAACATGGATTTATAAAAGTGGAAATCATGTTTGAAAAACTTGTCAGAGCTTTTTTTGACAGTGTTACTTGTAGCATTAATACCAAAGAATCAGATTTTCAGAAGGCTTTTGATGAGATTCCACACAGAGGCTGGTAAATAAAATTAGAGCTCACGTGTTTGGTGGGAATATACTACTGTGGATTGGGAATTGATAGAAAGCAGCAGAGAGTAGGAATAAATAAGATCATTCTCAGGATGGCAGGCTGTTACAAGTGGAATACTGCAAATTCAGGATTGGGTCTACAACTGTTCACAATCTATTTGGTTGTATTTGGACCTTCTGCACTATTTCCAAATCTTGTGATAGCACCAAACTGGGTAGGGGTCATAAGATGTGAAGAGGATACCAGCAGGCTTTGAGGACTTGGACAGGTTTAGTGAATGGTCTAAAACATGGCAGATGAAATATAGTGCAAATAAATGTGAGGTTCTTCACTTTTGTAGAAAAACAGAAAAGTAAAATATTTCTTAAATGTTAAATATTAAGTGCAGTTGTCCAAAGAGATCCAGCTGTTCTTTTCATTGGCTCACTAATAGCTAGCAGGCAAGTGCCAGAAACAATCAGGAAAGAAAATGATATGTTGACACGATGTATTGGCAAGGAGATTTCAATCAGAAGCAAAGATATCTTGCTGCAGTTGAATAGAGTCTTGGTGAGGTCACACCTGGAGTATAGTGTACAGTTTGGTCTCCTTATCCAAAGAAGGATATTCTTACCATTGAGTGAATTCAAAGGAGGTTCACCAAATTAATTCCTGGGATGGTGAGAATCTTTTATGAGGAGACATTGAAGAAACTAGGTCTGTATTTTTCAGAGATAACACAGTGTGGAGCTGGAGGAACACCTCAACAGTTCTTACTATCTCTGTACATTTCAGAATTGTGAAGAGTGAAATCCCATTCAAAATTACAAAATTCTTCTAGTTCTTGACATGGTAGATATAAATAGAATGTTCCCCTGGTGGTGACATTAGAACCAATGACATAATCTTAGGGTAGGATATTTAAAAGGAGATGAGGAGGAATTTCCTCACTTAGATTGGTGAATGTTTTGAGTTCTCTTCGCCAGAAAACTGCAGAAGTTCAATCATAAAATAGGAAGATAGAAATCAATAGATTTCCAGAGACAAATGACATTCAGGAACATGGTTGAAGAGGTAAAAGATCAGCCATGATTTAACTGAATGACAATGCACGGTTGATTGTCTAAATGGCTTACTGCTGTTCCTATGGCTGTTCATGATAGACAGAGTATAAACTATACTCCACAAGCCAGCACTTGCAAAACCCAGAACAAAATATATTCTTTTAGATGTGATCCCATGCTTGGCAGCACTTATGAACATTCCTTACTGGACCAATAACTACATTAACAACTAATTTTTGGGAATCAGTTAAGATTGTAACACGAAATTTTTATATTTGACAGGTGACATGAATTCATATGCAGGGACCCATTCTCTCCTAACAAAAGGTTCAAGTCTTGGAGAAGTCATTGGATTTGAAATGTTAACTGAGTTTCTCGCTGCACAGATGATGCCTGACCTGCTGAGTTTCTCTTGCACTTTGTGTCTTGTGCCTGTTTTGAATTACCTAGAAGCATGAGAAGCTCATAGTTTCCACATTGCTCTTTCAATGGCAATGCTTTAGCTTGTCAGAATTGACTTGCCAACCAGACAGCTTTTCTCCTTAGTATAAATGATTATGATAATTTGAAATTTGGCATTCTTGTATTTGTCCTAATCAATAGAAGCTGAAAAGCCTCTGCAACATGTCTGTCTTTGCAGCAATTTGTTTTAGATGATTTAAGTAAATTTTAGAAGGACAAGCTAAGCATTCCTGTGCTAGTAACCAAGATGTAATTTCAGAACCTATATTAGTTGAGCTCCTGTGGCTTTGCTCATGGACCAAAAAATATTTTATGTCTCCCATTTCCTTTAGAGAATCACATACTTCCCTTCTATACTTC